AATCACTTTTGATCTAGAAAGGATTAGTCTGTTGTAAGATTATGATTATAGTTCTTTTTTAAACTGTAACATAATGCTTATTAGATTGTCTGATCCTGCTAGCTTCTGATCTTCCAGCAATTTGAGCTATTTCTGTGTTTACAGGCATGGAGCCATACACCAAAGTGATTCCGTTTAAACCTTTTATATAACATTAGTGCTTGAGTATTGCTTTACTGCTCAGCATGGTAGATTTTGGTAAACATCTTAGTGAATATAGATGATGATAGTTTTTAATGAGCATTCTGTTAAGCATTAATCAGTTCTGGTAATGTATATAAGGCTTTGTGCATTTTCTGTTTTCACTGTAAAGCTAAAGCTGTCCAAGGTGCAGCTAGAAGAGTAAGTCTGTGTCACCCTCAAGTTAAATTAGGTTGAAACTGGTTGTTGTGTTCTGCCAACAAACTCTTAATGGAGAATTCTAATGTGTTCCTAGAATTATAGGAATGCATTAGCCAGTATTTTCAGATGCATTTAACTTTTGGGGTGGAAAGAAATTGACTTAATCTCAAAAATGCCTGAGCTTTGGGGAAGCTTTAATGTACTCTCTTGAATCTGTGGACTAAATTCCTTTGGTTTGGTTTTTCTTGATGACTTAAATTGCTTCTACATCCACATTTCTGTCTCTCTGGAGAATGCTGTGGGAAGGTGATGGAGGGCTATGTGAATACAGTGACTGTTTTAGGTAATAAGTATTCCACTTGTTGTTTTTCGTAGCCACGTTTTAATCAAATGTGATACCTAACCCCTAATGAGACACTGAACAGCTGCAGGGGTAAGGGAGAGGAAAAGGGAAGGAAATGGAGTTGTGATTCTCAAAACAGTACCAATGTGGCCAGTGGGGGTTGTTTCCTGCTGTGCAGGAGCATGCATGCGGGGAGCAGTGCAGAGCTCCCATCTGCTCTGCTCCAGGAGGGTGACAAACACCCCTGTGAACTAGAAATTTACCTTCCTTCCTGGGGTGGAGCACATCTGTGCCACCTTAGGTGCATTACAGTAACTGAAACGCCACAATTCAATGTTTGAATGCAGTTTCTTTTCACTCCTTGCGGGAGTTCCAAGTGTGATTCAGCCCTGTCAGTAGTTTTGTAGTAAATGAATCTATGGCTGCAACTAAGAATCTGTGGCTGCTCATCACTACTTATTTGTGTGTGTAACTCATGAACTGGAAACTGAAGATTATAATTTCAAGCTCTTCATATGATGGTCCATCAGTAATGATTCTTAAAGCACTCCAATTGCTTTTTTTTTTTTTTCTTCAGGTACAGGTAGTGTTTTAAGAGGTCAGACAGCAAGCTTAATGAGGTCGGGCTTTCTGTGGAAGCTTCTCCTGCTCACATAAATTTCTCATACCTTTTATGCCAAGGAATGAAGTGTTACTTTAAATTTTGGTTGGGGTTTTTTTTGATGATGAGGAGGATTTATGGTATGTGTTCTCTTCCCCTCCTGTTATGGGAAGAGGTCTTTGGACTTGAAGATTTGTTAGGCTGAAAGACTGGCAATAAAGCTGTTGGAGACGTTTGTGCTCTGCAGTTTTAGCACTGCAGTCTGATGCTTGGTTGCCTCCTTGTGTCAATATGCTTTTTCCCCTGACAGTATGTGGTGTGTTAACAGCTTCTCCATCGCTGTCTTGGGGAGGATCTCAGCAGACTCATCTTCTGCTGCTTGGACAAACACATGAATTCACCAAACTGAAGGCAGATGAAACTGCCTCAGTGGGACAACTGCATTAATGAAAGCCTGATTTGGAAAGTGGCTCAAAAGACCATGTCATCCACCCTCCCAGCTTTGCTATGTCCACTGTCACCTCTAGTAGAAGTTTGTCTGACACGTTCTTAGAAATTTACAGCATGAGAGACTTGATAGCTTTGCCAAGAAATGTAAACCATGTGCTTACCTTCCCTTTTGGAAGGTGTTCCTGATCTGTAACCTGAGCCTGTTTTCTTCAGTTAAGGCTTACTTCTTAGATGTGGGAAAAAATGCCCTTCACTGAAAGCTTGATCTGCCTGTGGGGAAAAAAATCCTTATGTGCTTCGTGCAGTTTCTTAGTTATAAACATCACTGCTTTCCATGGATTGGATTCTGCTTACAGGGCTCCTCTGCCTTTCTTACTTCAGGCTCTGCTCCAGTCAGTTTATCTGCTGTGATGAGGGCAGGAGCATCAAAAACCATCAAAAAAAAGCATGTGGGACTCTCAAGTCTTGCTGTGCTAAGCTATTTTGCAGGTTGCACATGTGTATACATACAGCCCTGCTTGGTGCTTGACTTACACGAAATTGTTTTTAATTATATACACTAATTTGTCACTGAGTCACGTTTGGACTGCAAGCTGCCGTCATTAAGACTTAGTTGGAATTGTGGCCTATCCAGATGTTTAGCAGGCAGGGTTTTTTGCAGCTAACTAGTCCTGCCCTTGAAGGTGTGGCTCAGCCCTGCTGTTGTGTGGATCAGCAATCTGTGTTCCTGCAGCAGACCTGCCACAGGGCCTGTGCTGCCTCTTCTCTTCCCTCTGCACTGGCTGAGCAAGGAGCCCACAGCTTGGACTTGGATTGCAGCTACCTGCCAAGAAATCTTTATAGTAATCATGTAGTGGAATTACTGGTGATCATCCTGTTTACCCTGACACTGTGGTAGGACAGATCAGGGATTATAGAATTGGTTGGTCTGGGTTGGAAGGGGCCTTAAAGCCCATCTTGTTCCACCCCTGGCTATGGGCAGGGACACCTTCTATCGGAGCTGTCCAGCCTGGACTTGGACACTCCAGGGACGGGGCAGCCAGAGCTTCTGTGCCAGGGCCTCAGCACCCTCACAGGGAAGAAGTTCTTCTGTACACTTAATACAAATCGCCCTCTTTTAGTGGGAAGCTCTTGCCCTTGTGCTGTCACTTCAGGCCCTTGTCCGAAGTTTCTCTGCAGCCCATTTAGGTACTGGAGTGTGCAGTAAGGTCACCCTGGAGTCTTCGCCAGGCTGAACTCCCCACCTCTCTCAGCCTGTCTCCAGAGCAGAGGGGCTCCAGCCCTTGGAGCATCTTTGTGCCCCTCCTCTGGACTTGCTGCAGCAGCTCCATGTCCTTGTGCTGGAACCCCAGGCTCTCCAGAGCAGAGGGGCTCCAGCCCTTGGAGCATCTTTGTGCCCCTCCTCTGGACTTGCTGCAGCAGCTCTGCAGGAGGGATCTCACCTGAGCAGGGCAGAGGGACAGATTCCCCTCCCTTGACCTGCTGACCATGCAGGGGGATGAGCCCAGGACATGGTTGGTTTTGGGACCTCAAATGCAGATTGCTGGCTCATGTTGAGCCTGTGTTAAGCTGGACGTTTTCTAGCTTTTAATCTTTTTTTTTCTAATCTTTTAATTACTCAACTTGGTTGGTGTTCTGAAGGTGTCAATGAGCAAAAATTTTCTTCCTTGTGTTAGCAAACTACATGGCTGTGCTAAGATGGGAGCTCTGGATAACTAGTCTTTCCTGGAAGCTCTTGGTGTTGCTGTGTGCTTTGCAAGCAGAGGGACCATTTTTTCTGGAATTGTGCAGGAAAGCTACTTGAGGCACTTACCTGCCACTGCCAGACTTCAGTGGTTCAGGCTGGGGTTGTCCAAGCTGTAGGTAACTGTTGATACCTTCGTAGTGGAAATGACTTGTACCTTTAACTGGTTAACTGGTGGTGTTTGTGTTTAACTCTCTAAGGGAGCTCTGCTTGTGCCTGGTCAGGGGAAGGACCAGAGCCCAGCTCAGTTAGCAGGCTGTAGAGCAGCTGACAGCATGGCTGAAACTCAAAGGCTGTCTGCAATCAATGGGAATTGGGTGTATGTTTTTCCACCCCCTTCAGCTGCCATACAGTGAGCTCACACTGAGCAAATGATGTGCTAGGAATAATTCTGCATTGGAGGAAACAAGGGGATCCTGACTGTGTGAGGGTGGTGTGCTCAAATTAAAGTCTCTAGCTGTGCTCACCCTTTCTGGCTATATACAGCTGAAATTGCATGAGGAAATCATGCAACTTCTGTTGATTACTAAGGAAACCTGCACAAGGGGAAGGGTAGAATAAGCTTGTTATTTAAGCATTTGTATGCCTGTTAATCTCAATTCTTGTTAAAAAAATGTGAAGTTATTCCAGGACCTGTTAGGGGTGTTCCTGCCCTTGTGTATGATGTGTTACAGAGAATTGGAATTGAGGAAGCGAGCAGGTGAAGGTCTGATTCCTTAGGGATCATCTCCAGGGCACTGTGACACCTAGTGACAGCATTTCCAATGTTTACAGGTTGGATTTTCACTCTCCAGTTGCTCTTTTGCTCTGTTTAGCCAAATGTTACTTAGCAACCTGACCTCAAATCACTGAGACTCTTTTCATAGGAGTAGAGATAACCACAAATTATGATAAATTTCACGGTGGCTTTTTAATTATGGCATGGATATTCATATCTCCTTGGTGTACCTCTAACTTTCCCTGGAAAGTTGAGGATTGCCTTACATGAGGGTTTCTGTTACACTGTCTGGGTGTCTCATTGGTGTGTGTGAGTAATCCTTATACAGGTGAGTTTTAAGACCTACATGAGCACAGTGCAAAAGCATCAATGTCCCGTGGTGCAGTAGAATCTGCTGTGAAAAGGCTGTTAATTTGTCTCTTGGCTTTAGATCTCAGCAGGAGAAGTTAGTCTGTATATCAAAGTGGTAATAATTTTGATCTTAACTTCTCCTCTCTGATATTCACAGTTAAACTCCAATACCTGGAAGGCCTAAGCAGACATTGAGGATAACTGTGTGATGGAAATGTGTAATCATGAAAAATATTCTGTCTGAATAACTTCTAATAGTAGTTAAGCAATGCCATTGGCTGCTTACCTCAAGAGCTGAAACTGCTTTATCCTTTTGTACAAAAAGAATCAAACTGCCCCTAGGTGTTCCCAAATATTATGTTTTAACAGATACCATGTATGATAAATCAGCCATTCTCCATATGTATTTTAGAACATCTCCTTGGAATATCTGAAGTCCATATGGCTATGTATGATGAAGATATCTTGAAAAATCCCTTTTATTTGGCCATTCAGAAACGACGTCCTGACCTATGCAGCAAAGTTGCAGAACTCCATGGTATTGTAAGTATGAAAAAGTATATTTAAAAGCTGCTTAGTAGGTAGTAGTGATTTGAATTTATATCATATGTCTGCTATGAAACATGTAAAGATTATTTGAAGCCTACAAAACTTGGAAATGAAGCAGAACAATTTTTAGTTGAAGTTGCACATTATTTACTAATATGGACCTTTTGATATATTGCAAGGTAGTAAAAAGCTAAGGTTGGTGTTGTTTCTAAACTCTACAGGGAACTTACTTTCTTTTCTATGAACTGAAGTTACATATCCTCTCACAAGTTTATAACTTAAATGGGATTGACCTTTTGAGATGCCTGGTGGACAAGCAGTTACTCATTTGACAGCATTTTACATAGCAAAATAAAGCTATTAAACTGACCTGGAATAAAAACTCCAGTCCTTAATATTTGCTAATCTGAATATTTTGCAATTAATTTTCATTCACAATTAAGTGTCTAGAGACTCCATTGAACATGGAGGTTATTGTCACCTGATGATACAATTTGTTTCTTTCTAATTAAGAATTTGCCCTAAATTGCCAATCTGTTTGCCTAAACCCAAGATATTTGTTAGATCTTTTTTTCTGATGGATTTTTGTTTGACTTTGGATATATGCTTCACTTTTTTATTAGCTGCTTAAGTCATCTGTTGCTATTTGAAGTTGTTTGTGGCTGGTGCTAAGTAACTAAAGATTTAATTTACTTCCCTTAGTATTGTTTGCTTCAGTTGCATGTCAGCATTTTTTCAGATAAGTTACTAAGTGAAATTTCTGGATTAATTATCAGACTGTGTGTCTAGTGATAACCTCTCCTTTTTTTAAAAACAAAAGCACCTAGAGTTCCTGTATGTTTACTGTAAATATTTAAAAGCCTGATTTAATTGCTTGCCTCTTAAGGACAAAAGGTATTGATGTGTAGCTGGCAATACTCAGAATTTCTCTCTCAAACATGATTTAACTTTTTTTAGGTGCTAGTTCCATGCAAAGGAAGCCTTTCAAGCAACAGTCTTTCAACCTGCCAGTTTGAATCTTATGTTCTGAAGCCTCTGGAAGAAAATTTTCAAACCTTAAATGGAAAGGTATTTCTGTTTGATATCTGAATGTAGCTTGGGGACACTCCAGTAAGTGATTCACTGCTGCTGCTGACTGATTGTGTGGTTACAGACAAGGCAAGCAGGGCTGACACTGCAGAGGATCCCAGGTTTTTCATTTGTAATTTTGCAGTACAGTCAGAGAACTTGGGCATACAGCTTGCACTAGAGATAGTTTGCAGGCTGCCATCAGGATTTTCCTGTTCCAGATGTCCTCACTAGAGCTGCTGGGAAAAGAAAGCCAGGTGTGAGAAATACACACAAGGTGTGGGGTGTTTTTCTGAGGCTGGGATTAAGTACTGATCTTAAGCTGTTGGGATTTTTAAATTTCCTTTCTACTAAAAGTGCTCTAAAATCTGCAAACAAAACCTTGGTGATTATCTGAAACCTCTTTTACAAGTCTACTGCTGGAGGAAGTGGCTGTAAGTAAGGTTCAGCCAGCCACTGCCCAATGAAGTTTGTGTCAACACAGCATGAAAATGTGAAATTTCTCCAATTTGGCTCTTTCTTGCCTTGCAAGGTTCTCTTCTCCCCCTTGGAAGTGTGGCTATGTGAGGCAGAAGCAAAAGAGCACCTTTTTTTCTGGCAGTTTCACACTTGTTCTGCTCTGTGTTGTTTCAGGAGATCTTCATACAAGGAAACCTCATCATTCTAGGAGCTGGTTTTAATTACACTCTCTCAGTACCTGTTCTCTTTGAGGAAACCTTTTACAATGAAAAAGAAGAAAGCTTTAGTATATTGTGCATAGCTCATCCATTGGAGAAAACAGAAAGCTCAAGTATGTATTGATGTCAGTTTGGTGGCTGCTTTTGCACAGTGTCTGTATTTAATAAATGTGCTCATTCTGGAAAGTGTTGGCTTGGTTAAATGTCCTTGGCATTTATGAGCTTGCTGGGCCCGATGTTGGTGTGCTGCTGCGGAGAAATACCAAGTGCTCCCAGCAAAACTGGTGCTGAGACTGGGACGTAAATGCTGTAGAATTAAGAATGATCTGTGGAATACTTAATCCAGCATGATTTTTCTTAGCTGTTCTCAATTTAGTACTGACTGCTTAAAAAAGGGATTTAATCCTAGATGTGATTGTGTGTGTCTTGAGATGCAAGGTGGATGCACAAATAACTGGAGAGGTAAATTCTTTCATGATCACTTTGTAGGGGGATAGAGGTTGTGTGGCACAGTTAGGTAGCAGCCTCCTGATGGTGGCCCAACTTAGGAAGTTGAATGTCTCAATTTTTGTCCTGCACTGAAAGTGCTCCTTAAGGCTGTGAGACTCTTTTCAAGACTGCTGTCAATACTGTGAATGTTAACAGCAAGTCCTTGTGAACTTGGTATAACAATCTGTGTTTACTAATTAAGAACAGAAGCTGCTTAAAAAGCTTGGAAGCTTCAGCTTTTTCTGAAGTAAAAACACTAGTCTTCCTAAATAAATAAGAATATTTGAAACAAGTGAATGCAAAGAGAAGTAGTGCTAGGGTAGTGTGAAAGTAGTACTGTGAGGGAAGTATGGAAGGCTTTTAAAAAAAACCAGAACAACCCAGCTGTCATTCATATTGCCTTAAATTCTGTAAGTGTTAATGTATATCTCAAAAATTGTTCTTGTGGTATTCTTTATAGCCATTACTTAATATAGTCATATCACAGTCTTTCAGAAGTGAAAGAGTTTCTAATTTCACAAGTAATTTGAAAATAATTATTTAAGCCTCTTATTAGCTGGCTGCCTTTGACTGAAGATGAAAGATTTGCCTAGAAAGACTTTTTTGAAAAAGAGCATGATTCCTGAGTGAGGGATTCAGTTGTCTTATTCAGAAAAAAAGTGGATTTGCTTTAATGTTGCTCCATGTAACTTTGCTCTCCCATTCAGAGAAGGCTTGTCTAAATAAAGAATAGCTTACATAAAAGTCCACGATGGGATTTTTGCAGCTCACTTAAAGCACCCTGACGTCCTGCATGGTCACTCTGTAAACTCTGTAATGTGCTTTTCTTCTACTTTCAAGCTTGACTTACACAACTCATAAGCTGAATGCATGTGGTAATAAATGATCCCAATGTAAAAAAATAAGTGAAATCTGTTTTAGCTATTCCAAATAAACACTTGACACAAAAAGCAGGGGAGCCTGCTCAAATGTGACTCATTAAATTCTTTTAATTAAAGGCAATACCTCTAGTTAAAGGTGCAGTGAGCTGAGTTCATGTTTCAGTGTACACAAGCTGGCTGTATATGTAGGGACAAAATGTAATTTACCATGCATACATATATTAAGCCTATGTGTTAATTCTTGGCTTTTATTTTAGGTGAATCTACAGCTTCATCAAACTCCTATTCTCTTAAAAACATTGAAGATGTTAGAGAGTTCTTGGGAAGGCACTGTGAGAGATTTGATAAATACATAGGATCTTTCTATAGAACATTTAAAGAACACGAAAGGAAAAGCCTCCGTCACTACATAGTCAGTATCTTCCTTCCTGATGTCTAATTTACTAAATATAATTAGCTTCACTGGTGCTGTTATCTTTGCCTTACTGAGCTTTTCTGTGTGAGAGTAGCCTAGAGTTGTGAAAGGGGAGGAGGGAGAAGTGGTAATTCACATTTGAGAATTTCACTATCTGAACTTAGTTTAGTAAATGCAATTATTGCTAAAACTCTTACCATACTGTACACTTTTGAGACAGGGAAGACTTATGTTACTTATTTAGGCTTTCCTCCTCCAAGTCCCATTAACCTGAACCTGATGGCTTTTATCTCTTCTCTCTCCTAGGATTCTGTCAATGCACTTTATACCAAATGTCTGCAGCATCTTTTGAGAGATTCACACTTGGTAAAGACTTACTCCCCTAAATACATAGTACAGTGTTACTTAGGCAATAAATTATCTGACTTTCTCTTGCTGTTTATGGCTTTGCTTTTCTAGAAGATGCTTGCAAAGCAAGAAGAGCAGATGAATCTGATCAAACAAGCAGTTGAAGTAAGCATCTGAAATGAAGGAAAATAATTAGCAAGCTGTTCTTAATTCTCCTTTTCATGCCTAAAATACTTTTTTTTCTACAGATGTATATCCATCATGCTATTTATGACCTAATCTTCAAATATGTGGGGACGATTGAGGCGAGTGAGGTGAGTTTCTTTGATTGCTCCATACTAGTGATATTCTTCTAAGGCATTTAAAAAAACCTGTTGCCTTTCTATTAATTAGGATGCTGATTTTAATAAAATCACGAGGAGCCTTCAAGACCTGCAGCAAAAAGACATTGGAGTGAAGCCTGAGTTCAGGTGAGAGAGATGAGTGTGGATTCTTGAAGAGTCACTGAGTTCCTGTCTTAAATAGGATCATGCCAGCCAAAAATGTTTTCCTTCAGGCACTAGCAAGTTTTTTTTATACTTTCATTTGAGATGTAACATCAAAGCTTTGCAAGTGTCATATGAGGACACTCTGTGCATTGATGGTTGACTCCTTTACTTTTATATTTTTAAGCCATATACAGGATACAGAAATGCAGGTGCACTTGGAGTAGAAGTGGGAGTATTTTGGAACCATTCTTCATTTCAGCTCTGAATAAGTTAAACTTGGGCTTTGGGCATCCTGCAGAGGAACTCTGTATGCTAATCATTCCTTTCTAATTATTTTGTAGTTTTAATATACCACGTGCAAAGCGAGAGCTGGGTCAGTTGAACAAATGCACTTCCCCTCAACAGAAGCTGCTTTGTCTGCGCAAAGTTGTACAAATTATCATGCAGTCTCCAAGCCAAAGAGGTCAGTAATTAGTCAATTCATAACTTTAAACTTAACCAGCACACACAAAGCACTTCAGTATACAAACAACTTTGGATAGGTCTTGGGGATCAAACACAGTTGAGCTGGAGTCTCTGAGGTCTCTGAACAAGGCAGAAAGGAAGGGAAGTGAGGTAGATGTGTCAGCACTGGTTCTTGTAGGCTGAGGTGAGGTACTGGGTTAGCTTGTGTATGTTTTAGCTTGAGCATGTGGGAAGCTCACATCTGCCAGGGCACTGAGGGTGTTCCATTTTAAACACTGGAGATTGTTGCTAGATTATTCTTGTGTATTTTTCTATGCTCCCCTTGACATCTTGAAATTGAGACTCTTGAGATACATCTTTTGCAAAATGCAAATGATGGGTGGGGCTAAACAAATGTGCTGCTGTGGATTGTAGACATGATTCTATGATACAAAAGCACAGTCCTCTTAACCTGGCACTTACTTTATCTAGCTTGAAAAGAGAAGATACTTCTACAAAGCAAAGATAGTAGCACAGTGAAGTTATGCTTTCCCTACTTCATGTCTTCCCTAGGAAGACTGCTGGGTTATGGAAAAATGTATCACCTTTGAGTGTACTCTTTGCCCTCAAGAATTCCAGAAATCTTGAGCTAATGCTCTGGCCCTTGCTGTGTGGGAAGGGAGGGATGCTAGTCAAATATTGCAGTCTGTACTGCACAAACTGCATCTGTGTGTTGGCTCCTGGCAGACTGTTTCAGTGAGAGATTGAGAACATTTGGAGGCCTGCCCCAGGCTCTCTGTGTGTTCTCTACTAGTAGAGCTGGCCCTCAGTCTGAAGAGGCAGAACTTTAGAATTATTGCTCTTGATTTGAACCATGACATGGCTAATACCAAATTCTTGTTTTTAGTTAACGTGGAAACCATGTGTGCAGATGATCTTCTCTCTGTTTTGCTGTATTTGCTTGTAAAAACAGAAATCCCAAACTGGTATGTAACTGTTTTAGTTATACAGAACTCCTTCCTACCGTCTTGTGTGGTGCTGCTGTAGGGACAAATGTTTCTGAACATACAGTAATTACTTATTGGAAGTGTAAGGTCCTGTTAAAATGCAGAAAATGTTTTATAGGACAAATAGCTAAGATATGTTATATATGTGTAACTAAATGGAGGAGCTATCAGGAATGTGCCTTTGTTTTGATCCTTAGCCTAGAAAAAAGTTGTAGTGGGAGGCCATCTCTCAACCCAATCTGTGTGTCAATACAGCCTTCACAGAGTGGTTCTCTCTCATCTGTGTTGGGAGCTGTGACACCTTTATGCATTTCAAGATTTGGTGTGATTCATACAGAGAAACTAGATGTGAATGTTTAATTACTTCCTGCCAGCTTGTGCTATTGTCTCCTCATTTTCAGTAAAAGTCTATCTAAACCTTCCAGCTGTACCTGAACTGATTTTCTGTGCTGTTCTATCCTGGATCTCTGAGATCAGCATTTGGCCTTTAACTTGTAGCTATCACTGTGGTGCTTATGGTGCTGGAAACATTGCTTCTCTCACTTCAAAGATGTTGATCTCCCATTATTGTCCTTATCCTTCTATTCCTTCCATCCAGTTGGTAACTCTTCATTGGATATTTAAGAGATAAGTAGAGTTCTGGTCACTCTGCAAGCTCAGAACAACCATATTGCTGGCTTAAGAAGCTTTTTAGAAGCATTTTCCCAGCTCACCCTGTTGTCTGCCTGGATTGCCTAAGATGAGCTGCAGTATGCCATGCTAGTGTCTTAGTTTCAGTGGTTCACAACTTTAACCTTTTTCTTTTCAGGATGGCCAACCTGAGTTACATCAAGAACTTCAGGCTTTGCAGCTCAGTGAAGGATGAGCTGGGGTACTGCCTGACCTCCATCGAGGCGGCAATAGAGTACATCCGGCAGGGCAACCTCTCTGACAGATCAACAGTAAGCTACTCTTAAAGCCTGTCCAATGCTTGCTACCTTGTAGTACCATTATAGTGTGAGTCCAGCCAGAGGATACAGATAACTAACTTAAGAATTGCCTTTTTTGCTTCAAAAAATGAGTAGAGGAGACTACCCGAAGCAAATGCTAAATTGACCTAAATTATTATAATGAAGTCCTAACTATGTACCAATATCTCACATTGCATACTTCTTGAGGAAGTACTTAAATGTCAGGTCTGTCTCTTCCTATGGTTAGAGGAGAAATGACAGCACTGTTTTCTACAGATGAATCTCCAGTATGTTTATCTCCTGTTTGTACTCTACCATGATTGTGAAAGCAGTGCAGTACTTGGGAGCAGGCACAGCTTAAATTTTTGTGTAACTTAAAAATGCTTAGCTGTGCTAGCAGAATGGAGATAGCAGTGTAATTTAGAATTATTCGGTAAATCTTCATACTGGAAGAATTCCATGTGTTTCCAGTGTGGGTTTCAGTGCTGCACTGAGTTGATGGCTTAGGGGGGTTGCAGGGCTGTGATGAGGTGCTGTTTGAAGGTCAAATTTGGCCCTTGGGATCTCTGACCTAGCAGGGGCAGGAAATCTGTGGATGCATGAGAGATTTCCTACTGGGCAGCTAGACCTGCTGTCAATCTGGTCACATTCCTGCAGGCCACTCAAGGGTGATGCTGATGTGACTTTGGAGACTTCTATAATTTAAGAACTTTGTAGATTATTTAGTCAAGGAATCCAGTCTTACCACTCCTGTAAAATTTTCTACTGTTGTAAAACTAGGTTTTCCTGAGCTGATGTGGACATCAAAAGGAGTGAACGTGGAACCACAGTGAATTCAATGTGTCTCAGTCTGCCCAGCTGCAAAGCACTGGAGTCTAACTGCAGGGGCCAGAACAGTGGTTCAGTGTGCAGGGCTTGGGATGGGACAGCCTGGGGCACAGTCTTAAGAAGCACTTAATGTAACATTTTTGGCCTCTTGTTATTTTTGGTTTTGTCCTTTTCTGGGATTTTTCCATAAACTTGTGCAAGTTTGTTTTGTACACTCAAAAAAAAAAAAAAAAAAAACCCAAAAACCAAACCATCACTTTCATATTGTGCAAAGAGAGTGGTATTTCTTGTCTGTAATTGAATTATTAAAAAAAAATAAAAATGCTAGCTTGAAAGAAACAACCTGCTATATGATTTTGCTTCCTGCAGTCACTTGGCTGTCATTCACAATCAATATACAAAGAGCAGTGCTGAAAGAAAACTGAAACCAAAGCAGAATTGTCTTCCACAGCAATGCCAGCAAACTAAGATAGAATATACCACTCTTAAATTTCTAGAATAAAGACTGTTTCCTATTAAATACCTGATCCTATCTGTCTTGGTGTAGTTAAGGACAGCAGCTTTTATACTGGGATTGCATTCAAATATTGTAACTTAAGTGCCACTTCCATTAAGGTACTATGGTTCTTTGGGAGGCACCTGTCCTGAAAGATAAACTATATATTTGAGACGTTTAAGTGAGGAATTCAGTGTCTGCACCACGAGAAGAGCAAGCCATTAGTGTTCCTGTCCATACTTCAGCTGGATCAGCTCCAGACCTAGAGAACTTCATCACTTCAGGGTGAATGTGCAACACAAAGTCCTCCTGCATTGCCTTTCCTTGGAGTCAGCCTGGCTAGAAAGCAGCAGAACCCTGAGGATGAAGTGAGGGACAACTTGCCCTTAACACAGCTGGAAAGGAAACAGCCAGACCACCCTTTTCTCCTGGGCAGGAGAAGGTGGCACACAATGAAAAGAGACTGAGGTGGAAATGGAAAAAGAATAATGAAGAGGTAGAGGAGCATTGCTCTCCCTTCATGAAGTTACCAGTTGAGATATTTCCTTTACTTTCTGGTAAAGGGGATGAACCTTGAAGCAGCAGCAGCTGTCATCTTGCTGCCCTATGCTTTCCTTCTCCAGATTGTGCTGGAAGGGGGTGTGGGGTTGAAGTGAGCAGGAGCATTGCTGTGCCCTGGGGCTTCATTACAGCCCCTTATGTGGTTATGCTTAATTTTATAGCTGGCTTCAGATGGAGCTGCTGGCAGCTGAGTAATGCTGCTGTCCAATCCCTAATGAAGATTACTCCAGAAAGAAACTCAGCAGGGAACTAATGTACCCTGAGGGATAATGGGCATGTTCTCACCCTCCTGTCAGTAAGTGAATTGCACTCAGGACGTTCTTGCCAAATCCCTCCACCCAAGGTCATGCAAGTCCTTGTCAGACACTTTGTGGGGAAGAGAGGAGCCTGTAAAGCATGAGAGAGTCAATTTTATTTTCTGAATTTTCAACATTATTCAATTAGAATTCCTGTTAACAAGTGTTGGGTTCCTTGGCACAGCTAATGTGTAGTAAGACTGAAGTTCAGAGGGTTCAAGTGAGGTATAAAAAATAGGGAGTCAGAGCCAGCCATGAGGGGATAGGCAGCATTTTGTTTCATGTGTGGGAAGAACTTCAGATGGGGAAATGATCCCTACTCCCCCTCCCACCAAACACTTTATTACTCTTAATTTGTGTTCCTCTTCTGGCTTCTGCCACCTGTATTGCCTCCAAGTTATCAGTTGTAATCTGTGAGAATGTCTTGGGATAGATGATTTCAAAGGTATACTCTCATAGGTACAAATATTTTCTTTTTCTACACATTGTAGTATTAGATTAAAAAGGTCATTAATGTTTGGGTGTGTATTTTCTAGACAACATACCCTTAAAATACCTGGAAGTCCCACTCTAAGCAACGGCTTTTGAAAAGAAATACAAGTTCTTGGGTTGTAAATAAAGCTGGTACAAGTGAGTTCTGGCTTTGAAGGCCCAAACTTGTTTAATCCTTCAGTGAATATCTGATAATTTTCATTCCATATTTCACTATTGAAGATATGTGATATCACCTGAGCTCTTTTTATTCTGATTTATATAATAAATATATAATACTGCTACATTAGGGTTACTGTCTCATGTGACTCTCTTAAAAGAATGATTCTACTTGGGGAGCGCTTCCCTTGAAGACACACACTGTGGAAGGAGCAGTTCTAAAACTACAGTAGTTCTTGCTCATGGTTAATTAGATTCTCCACAGTGAAAATGTAAAGCTGTCTGTGAGCATCCACACTAGAAATTCTGATTAGACATTACCAGCAGTTAAATTTTTGATCAAATATTTCTTAGGGAAGTTGTTCCTGTTCAGAGTGAAAAATATACCCAAGGACACTAGTGTTATGTGCCTTGTAATTCTGAGAAGATATGTCGAGTATCCTTAGCTAAACTACAGATCTGAAAAGATTGGTGAATATTTGTCATCTTTATGTATCTAAATCCTGAGAAGTACAGAGAAAAACTTTCATCTCCAGACCTCACAAACATGCTTTTAATGATGTTATTTGCTGAACTCCTAAGGGTTTTTTGGACAACTTTGAGAGGCATCTGTGTTGATTTTGAAACATGAATAGTCCTAATTTCTAGAAAGTCTGAATCAACTGATGTTTATTTGCAATTTATGAGGCTCAAATTTCATCCTGACTTAGTAATGTAAGGGTGGAGTCAGACTGGTTTTACTCACTTACATCTGCTCTTGGCAGACTTCAATTGCAAAAGCCATAGCCCAGATCCTAAACCATCGAAGTTTTCCTGATACATGTGGGTGTGTGTCTTAAATGCAGTGGTTTTCTCTTTTATGGAGGCTGAAGTATTTCCATTTCTGGAGAGCCATTATCCTACAACAGCCCCCCTGCCAACCTTGAGCAGCTGTGCATCAGAACCAACCATGTGCAAAAGTTTCCATCTGCATTCTTAGGAAGTGTTTTCCTTAGGTTGTTGTTTTATTTCATGGGAAGGTCAGTGCTGCCACCTCAAAATCTAACTCCACTTAATAATTTTCACCTGGCTTTGGAGGCATTTATATTCTTCAGTGCATCGTTAGGTGTCTCTAAGTACTGATGCAAGGGTTGCAGCTGTATCTGCTTAGTTCAAACCAAGTAGGAAATCTACACAGATGGATGTCCTGCAGAGCAATGCTTTGCCTGGTGCAGTATTCTATTTTTCAGCCAGCAGCAGAGTTCAGAATTCTTTGAGTCAGAGTTGTATCTGGGTCATCATTTTTAGTAGCCGTCAGTAGACATGTTTTATGTGAATTTCCCTTAATTTCTCCTCTTGAGAAAGCTGTGTTTTACCTCTTACAGTTCATGCTTTCTTTGCTATGTATTTTTTAGTTTTGCTATGTTCTTTTTAAGATGGTACTGCCATAATTTCATTAATGTTAATTCACAGTCAATTTCAGTTAAGGAATATTCTGGTGAACATCTGCTTATTTCTAGGAGTGCCCAGTCTTTTATGTCTCAGAATCTTAAAAGTGAAACTGATTCAGATTTCACATGTCTGATAATTCATACATAGTAAATGAGTGTTTAGTATTTTTAAAAGCTAATTCCACTGTTAGGGTTCTGCACTTTTGCCTGTAGATGTCTGTATAAATAATCAATCTGTTTTATTTTCAGGAATCTGAGAGTCTGTGTGACAAGCTGCTCTTAAGACAAAGGATGAACTTGTTGTCCCAGATGTCTGCTGCACCAATAGACTGCTTGTTTAAGGTTAGTAACTTTTATGGCAGAATATTATGTATTTGCACATTTCATATTTATATCTATCCCTTTCTGCAGTTGTATGGAATTACAACTGGAATTCTCTGGAATGTAATGAAGGGTTAATGACATTAGTACTGTGAAATGTCTTTTAGTAGATGCTAAAAGTGTCTTTTGAATTGAGCACCTTTCTGTGCCAAAGCCTTGCTAACGTAATATAATCTTATGGATTTCAGCATGTGTTATATGAAATATAGAAGCAAATGAGGATGAAATGCTTCTGCTGTTGGTATTGTGTGACCCATTTACTGCACAGATGTGATACTGCTTGTGTCTCACAGCTTTTAATACTTGAAATTGGAAGAGTTTTCTGAAATAATTTAAATGTAGTCACCTGACAGCTACTTCATGTTATCTGTTAATCTCACACTGTCATTCTAAAAGAATTTTGCCTATACAAGGACACAAAGCAGAGCTTCTAATTATATGTGTTCACAGCTTATGGCTGGAGACTTAGTAATTTTATAGACATGTTTTTGCACAGAGGGAGCTCAATGTCATGATTGAGTCTAAAGAGAACAATAGGAATTATTTTAATTTTTTTATAGAAAGTGAAGTAAGCCAAGAACAGTTTCTTTTTAATACTGAATGCCCATTAGGGGGTTTTGTGCTGTGACATTGTTCATTTCTGCTTTCTAATGCTTGAATACGTCTTTCATAATCGAGTCCTTTCATTTTGTGCTTCAGTAAATTACTCTTGGCTTTTTTTTTGTCTTAAAAGGAGGCCTTTTATATTGGTTTCTCATTCTCTCTTCTCTTGTTTTTTTTTTTTTTTTGTAGCATATTGCTTCAGGTGATCAGGAGGAAGTGGAGCGGCTGCTAAGTCAAGGTGACAGTGATAAGGACACTGTGCAGAAAATGTGTCACCCGCTGTGTTACTGTGACAAATGCGAGAAGCTGGTTTCTGGGTGAGCACTCTTCACCCCACAAATGCATAGAAAGCTGTGTAAAAGCCTTTATCTAAGATTTGCTTCAGGAGCTATGCTGCTTTTGGTTATAGAGGAATTTGGGAGCACTTCAGGATGTAATAGAGAGCATTTGGGTGGGTGTGGTTTGAAAAATCAGATCTATTGAGAGCATACAGAATCCTTTGGAACCCACCCGTTCTCTGATGGAGCCTGTGTGGGCTTTGGTGAACGTGGTGCTTCTTCTCTTCAGTCAAACTTACAGATCTGGGACTAACCCACTTCTCTTAACAAAATGTAATGGAATAATTTCTCAATGTAAAAGGATAAAAAGTTCCAAAATCAGTTTTTTACCATCCTTGGCAGCTTTTCCCTTTCCCTCCTCCTTCCTACCACCACCTGGGTAATTAAGCTGCTTTCAAACCATTGTGTTTTAAAGGAAACTGAACGACCCTTCCATTATCACTCCCTTTTCCCGAGATGACCGGGGATATACTCCACTTCATATAGCTGCTATTTGTGGTGAGTGGGATTGCTGTTCTTCACTAGTGTTTCCTACTCCTTTTGCTTTTGTGTTCTTTGTCAGCCTGTTTCCCACCTTTGTATTAAAGTTGGAATTCTGCATGAAGTTGCTTTTTTGCTTCTTTGCAATTGAAACTTTGCTATTTCTATCTGAGCACAGACTGAAGTCATTGTATATTCTTTTAAGCTCAGTTTCTTATGGCTGAGTTAATCTTTGGTTGTTGACTCTACTTTTGCCATAGGGGTTACCACAGTGGTGCTTTCTTCAGCTTTGAAAAAAGTAAAAATATGTCCTCAGAAACCAGGAGGTTTCTGGTTTGTTTTAAAGGACTGGTAGATTGAGAAATGACTTTTCTCTTTCCTGCAGCTAGCTATGCATTGTAGATCTGTAACACCTGTATTGTAATGTTCATTATGTAATTGATTTTGCTTTTATTAGAAGCTGTATTATTTTCTTAGTGGGTGGTTTCTTATTTATAATTTCCTTTCTTGTTATTATATTGACTCTAAATATTTTCTTTTGTTACTTGTAGGATACAAATATAGCTTGCTTTTAGCTGGAGGTTCTTTTACAGGGTTTTGACATTGAAGTTTCTGCCACAAAAAAACCCAAATACCAAGGCAGTGAATATGCAGTATATGGAAACATAGTATGCAGAAATGCAGGTTATTTTGGTTTATAGTCACTGTTTGAATTTGAAAAGTAGCAGTGTTCTTGTGCAAAGTTTACACCTTTCTTTGAATGCTTGTTTTCCAAGGTCAAACGTCATTAGTGGATTTACTGGTAGCCAAAGGAGCCATTGTCAATGCCACAGATTACCACGGTTCAACTCCCCTTCACCTCGCCTGTCAGAAGGGATATCAGAATGTTACAGTAAGCACAACACCTAACCTAAATAATAAATACATCACTCTTACTAAGCTCTGCTACTGTTACTGTCATTTAGCTCTTCTGGGGAGCTTTTACCAGAACTGTGTAAGCTGTCAGAATGGAGGCTCTTTTATCATTGGAGTTTGCAAGATATTTTATTTTTTCTCCTACTGCAAGGTTTTCAGCCATTGGTAATAACCAGATGGCAGCTCTGCACAATTCATCCACTTTATTAACACAGATGTCCAATGCATAATGCAAATGGAGAACATCTCTGCTCTTGCTTGAGACAGAACAACCATTGCAGCCATTGGGCTGAGTTAAATGCTTCACACTGTGTTTAGGATAGACTGTCTAACTGCAGTAATTGTTGTCTGATTGAATTTAGTGTATGTGGTATTCTTCAATTAGCATTGTTGAAATAAAGTTGTCTTCACTTGCATAAGCTCTTGAAATGTGAGGTAGATGATGTAGTGAATATATTGCAGTGTTTGCTGCAGTACAGAATTCATTTTTTCCAATTAAAATTCTGAATATGTGAGAAGAGACTTTGTGATTCTCAGGGTAGGGTACAAATAGTGCTGCAGTGCCAAGAGGGTGGTGTCTGAAACAGGAGGCAGAGCTAGTGTCTCATGGAGTGCTTCATCATGCCAGAACCCTAAAGGAATCTGCAGAGCAATAATTGTTTGTACATTAATTTTTTAGCTACTTAAATGTCTACTTTTGCTTTTCTTTTAAGCTGCTCTTATTGCACTACAAGGCAAGTACTGATGTTCAGGACAATAATGGAAATACTCCACTTCATTTAGCCTGCACTTATGGTCATGAGGATGTAAGTAATTGTTTTGTATCAAACCAAATGGGCATTCTAATGCAATGGAATTAAACTGATGCAAATTAGCACTAAACTTACATATTTTAAAAAGTAAATAAAAATATTTGAAGGCCAAATTGTTTAATGCTCTAAATGAGGACTTTATTTGGTAGTTTGTAGCAATTTTTAATGTGACTTCACATTAAAGATAGCAGTGCTTTGCAAATCTAGTTGTTTAACTCTTTATTTAATGACAGTGAACCACTAAAGCCGTCTCTTTAGGTAATGGGTTACATAAGCAGCAATAAAAACAAACCTTTTAGGACTGTGCCTGTTGTCTGAACTGAGACACACCACTATAATTTATTTATAGCTTTCCTTTTCTTCCCAGTGTGTCAAGGCTTTAGTGTACTATGATGTGCACTCCTGCAGGCTGGATATTGGCAATGAGAAGGGAGACACTCCTCTGCACATTGCTGCTCGCTGGGGCTATCAGGGCATCATTGAAGTGCTCTTGCAAAATGGGGCAAACCCAGAAATTCAGAACCGCATGAAAGAGACTTCTCTGCAGTGTGCATTGAATTCCAAGGTATTCCTCTTTATCTTCCAGCCTGATTTCTTTCTGATGCAGCACCACAAAGGTGGAGGTGTTCACTGCTAATAGGGTTTCACTATTAAAGAGAAAAATGTGTGTTTCACTCTGAGGAAGAAAGGTCCCATTTTAACTCCAGCAGTGGAAATACACTCTGTGGGATAGAACATGAACTTGTAAATGGATGCTTCTCATCTGCTCAGTCATATTCTGTTGCTAATTATTAGGTTGTCAGCTGATTTGTGTTTCACTCAGTAGATTCCTCTGTGAGTGGAGTTACACTGGTTCTCTTTAATATTTTTGTACAGATTTTGTCATTGATGGAAGTAAACTACCTAACATTTGAAAGAGGACAGAGTGCTTCTGAGGTAACAGCCCATGCAAGTTGCTAAATTATTTCTTGCCTATGCTTAACCTCCTTTATTTGATATTTAACCTTTTCTGGTTGTTTTTTATTTGTTTGATTGATTTTTATATGTTTTTTTCCAACTGTAAGTCACCCCTTAGGTCTCCTCAGCACTCAACAGAAACTTTCAGCAGAGGATCATCTGTCTCAAGCCTGTCATCAGCATCAACTGATCTAAGGCAAGAAGAAGCAAAAAACAGTTACAAAGAGGTAAGACTGAGGTATAGGTTTTGACAGTAAGCAAAGTGAAGGAAGCTGGAAGAGTGATAATTTGTCACAGTATTTTCAACTTCTTCCTCAGGAATAGCCTTCTGTCTGGTTTGGAAAATGATTACTGCTGTCCTCAGGGGATTGTCATCTCAGTACCTGAGCACTTTTCTTTGTGTGGTTTCAACTGCTCTGCTGGTTATTTCTGGGGGAAAATTGACACCATTTCTGAAGTAGTTGTTTGTATTTATTGAAGTTAACTACGTAATTTCAGAATTTGTTGAAGTTTACCAAAGTGCACTGGCAGTCAGTGCCCCAAGGCCCCGGCTGTCCCATCCAGGAATTAAGTGCCACTGTTAGCTTAGCAAATCTGTCAGGGAAAAGAGACTAGTACAGCCATGCTGGCAAACAACAAACTGGAATGTTAAGACATGCTTTCAAATAGGCATGGGAATCAATTTTGTAACAAGTGAACAAGTACAGACTATATATTAAATATCTTGCATGTATGTGTTTGCTGATTTTGCTCTGTGCACACCAGATGGCATCCTCTGAATTTCTTCCTGTGAGGTCTCAGATCCATACTTCGTTATCCCTTCCCAAGACTGTCATACCACCACTCTATCTGATGCTTCTTTTTATTTTTCCTGGTCTGCCTATTCATTATTTTTTTCCAAATTGACCTCCTAAGTATGTTTGTTTCTCTCAATATCACCACTACATTCAAATTCTTTCTTTTCCTGGTATTAAAAGGTTCTTCTCTTGCCAGAAGCTTCAGTTTTCTAAAAATATTGAAGAAACACAAAGATGCAAATTTTGACTGGACAATATGAAGTCACACTTGAGTTGCTCTGTGAGAGGCTCAGTGTAGGGCTGGACCTCCCTCTTTGTACAGAGTCAAGCATTCTAAATAAATTCTCCTTGTAGATTGAGGATTTATTTTTCTTTGAAGGAACAAATTTATCACACCCAAGTGCTAAGACTGTAGTTCAGATGAGGGAAAAAGATTACAAACTGCTTACACCTGAGGCCCTTGGAGTTAATGACCTTCTCTGTAATCCAGCTTTAGCTGATTTCTGTTTGCCAAGTTTCACCTGGGCTCCCTGCTCAAAGAGGCAAGAGCCTGATGCTGAGAGAGCTCCATGGAGGAAACACCACTGGAAGTAATGGAAACTGATGCAGTCAGTTTTCCAAATTTCAAGGTTTCCACCTTGGATTAAGGGGATCCAGTCAGATCTTGGTTAACCAGTACTGAATTAAACTTTTAAATGAGCCAGTCATAGCAGCTTGTTTATTATGACTTAGAAAAGAGAGAGTGAAAGAGCCAGGATTGTAAATTTGGGATTTGCTCTGTTGGAACTAAAAGTCTCCATGCAGAGTTTCTGTTCAGCAGCTGAAAAACTGGCTATGCAGGTGAATTGTAATAGGCTTGTGTCTTCTATTTTTACATTTAAAGGAAGGTTCTGTTCCATGGAAGAGTGAGAAAACAAACTGGAAAGATGGGGAAATGCATGTAGCAGACATTTTGCCCAAAGTACTCTTAATAAAATATCTATAAGCTGCATAACAAATGTACCACTGCTGGGGCCTGAGACAGCATTTAGTACTTGGAGAAAGTTGTTATTTTTGGAAAGAAATTATCAGAGCTTGTGGGTCACTGCTGTTAATGTTGGGCATCTTGTGTGGCATAAGGTGACTCCTGAAAAGTCCTTAAGACCTCTGCGTTGTTCAGTGACATTATTCTGTATGATTAGGGGAAGTTTAGGGGAGGCACAGACCTCCCTTGTGTATATAGTGAATTTTAGCTGTATATATAGAGAGATTGGGATTTATTTCACCCAGCTTCTTGAAGACAGTTGTCTTCACTTCATACATTTGTTTCCCCTCCTCAGTCAGTGGAGGGAAATTCACTTCAGAGAGGAGTTAATGTCAGACATGCTTAGTTTGACCTGAGTTGCACTCAGGTGTTATTTGTTGACTGCATTCCATTCTGTCGTTACCAGAGAGGGAGTTTAAAAATAAAAGGCCTGGCTGAGATTCAGACAGCTGATTTTTAGACATTCAAAATTAGGAAAGAAAAATCAAAGAATCATAGATTCTGCCTGGAGTGACCAGTGCATGACTCCAAGGACTTTCATCCTGTATTAGAAAGGTGGTAATAAACCCAAACGTAGCAGTGTTCCTAAGAAGAGATAGAAATGGAGAGATTTAATCTGGCTTCTGAACTTTCAGCTGTTTGTGTCCTGTTCTTCATCTGAAACCTGAAGAAAGGGATCAGAGCAATAGAACACAAACTTCAGTCTCATTCTTCCTTGTTTGCCTTGCCAAACACCACTGTCACACTCAGCAAGGTGGTAATTTCCATATGAAATGGAAATGTGACTGAAGCTGTCACTCCATGACATCTCCAACTTGCAAGGTGTTCCTCACTATAGAAACAAGTGTGTTTACCCATTAGCATCTTCAGCGATTCTAGCAGAGTGCTGGAATAATTGCTATAATGCTAAAACAGACTTCCACAAAGCTTTTAAAATGATTCTTGACACTCTGCAGAGTCGGGTGAATTGTGAGAGAACTGATGGACTCTCCCTGTCCTTTTGCTGGCACCTTTCCCATTCCTATCAGGTTGGATCTCAACTCCTTCATGTGAGAGTAGAGAATTAGAGAAGTGAAGAGGCAAGTTAATCTCCTTCTCCTGCTTTCACAAGCAGCCTGAGGCTCAGGGGAATGGCACCAGTGCTCTGCAGAGCTCCTTCCACCTCTTCTTCCCTAACGTGTGTGTTCCCCCTGCAGAGCTGTGAACAGGCAAGCACCTTCCCCCAGCAGTGGGGCCCTGGCCTCCCCTTACACTAAGGTGGGCTAATGCTGGTGCTGGTCCCAGTGTATGCCCTTTTTAGTATTTATATATTTCCAGATTTTAAGTAAGAAAACAAATTTCATACTTACAGTCAAGTTAGATGTGTAAATGTTTGGTTTTAGCGCAGGATTAAACCAGATATCTGCAGATGTAAAGGTAACAATTGGAAAGCATCTTTTTTGTCTTAAACTGTTGTTTCTCAAATAGCCTTGTGTTCCTGTAATTACACTGTACACTGTAATCATAAAAAGATGGGCACAGGAGTAGTGTGTTCAGGTGTTTGGGAGACACTGGTACAGTATGCTGGGAGCTGTGTGCTGGATAATGAGAGCAGCATAGAGCAGCTCAGCAAGAGTCCAGCCAGTGTTAGTGTATATTAGGGTAGGAATTTGCCTTGAGCAGGCATTTTTAACATTGGGTTCACACAGAAATGCACAGGGCAGCTGCTGCTGGAGCAGCATAATAATATATATTAGCTTACATGGCTTTGTTTATGGGTGGGCCACATATCCTCAATTTAGATAAGTACTGTTTAACTGAGCAAGTCAGAGATCATCAAGTGGTCACAGGCATTGCACAGATTCTCCATTTCATAAAGGAGGAAGGTTTTTCCCTTAAAACTTTATCAGTAAATATGAAACGGGCCAGCAGTAATCCTACTGCATGAGCTTAGGAGGTTAGCAAAGGACACAGGATTTTCTGTGTTCTGCTTAATACCCATACCAACAAAGCAAATAAATAATTTTCTTCATACGTAGGTGGAAAAACTCCTGAGAGCAGTTGCTGATGGAGATCTGGAAATGGTGAGTGTTAATGTGGCTGTTGAATATTATCGAATTCCATTTTATCTCATTCAAATTGAGGAAGTTAATTGTAAATAGTATCAAGTGGAGAATGCTTTGGGTAATAATCTCAAGTAAAGAGGAAATTCAGGTGACACTAGTCAGCACAGAGATGCTATTTGTGGGGCACACAACAATGCGAAGTTTGGATTTCACTTCAGATGGACAGCTGATGATATAATAATACCAATTCCAGAGGTGATGTTCTGTAATTTGTGGTACCACCTGTCTTGATTATTCTTTTATTTATTGTTGCCTTTATTCATTAAAAAATAAGATACTTGCAATGTCATTCTACTGAAAATTGAAGATGACACAGGAATCTTTAGTAGTTCTGCTTTTGGAGATGTGTGTAAGGCTGTAGATGTCTTGATTTTCTTGTGGTTCACAGAACAAAACCATAAAGCTGTGTGAGAATGCAGGTTTGCTCTGCTGGTGCATGTTCTGAAAAACCTGTTTGGGTTTGGTTTGTACCAGGAGTTACAAATGCCAATGAAGCCTCCTAGAGTCATCAGAAAATAGAAAACCCATGTTGCAAAATATGTGCCATGTTAATACTGTTTCTCTTATGTTTTATTCCACTGAGATGATAGAGCTGATAGAGCAAAGAACTGTTCAGCATATCATTATCCTAGTTTACAATGTGACTTAATGTAAGTAAATATTTCCAAGCCAGCCCTGAAGTCCTTTCAAGAAGCAGTAACATGTACAATGGTGACATTTGCCATTTTCCTGGCCACTGGTAAATGTGAATGTATTACAGCTAACTTTTCACCCACTTTGTGAAAATCTAAACTTCATCAAGAAAATGAAATACAGTGCTATAACTTGCTGGAAAATTAGTATCTAGCACTGCTCAACAGAGACCAGCAATGAAAAGCATATAGAAAGAAAGCATATAGAAATCCAGTCTGTGCATTCAGATGACGGAATCACCTTGTCTTTTGTGGCTTTACTTTCCTCATTACAGAAGTTCATGTGAAGCTGTTCAGAAAAGGAGAATCATCCAGCTGGATGACAAAGGTTACAGATTGCATATCTATTAAAAAAACATGAGTATTTAAAAACTCTGACCTTGTTCTGACAGCCTGAGGTCTGTCTGCATAGGAACAGCCACAGCAACCAGGTCATTAGGGCTGCTGTAGATGTTTGCTGTGACAGCCAACTGAGCTTTGCAAGAGGAGGCATTAAAAAGTGCTGTAAAACTGGAAGATTTAAAAAAAATTAACATTATTATGTGATTGTTGTTGTCTCAGCATAGCTCCTGGATTTGGTGCTCTCCTTGTACCCAGCCTGTCCAGTGGAAGGATATGTGCAAATCTACCACAGAAAAAAACCAAATCTCTTGTGTGAAATAAATGCTGTGGAGCAGCTGAAAGGTTGGAGTGAGGGTACAGAGACCTAGGGTGCTCAGCTGAGTATTCCAAAGTAACCCAGCAGTGTAAAGAAGCTTTCAGGTGACAAGTTACCTGGCAGATGAGACTGGGCAATCTCCTGAGGTGGTTCAGTGTGTGTCTACTTGAAAGGACAGTTAATATTTTGACAAAAAAATATCTTTAAACCAATAAGAATGGCCACTGCACTGTAATTATAAAGAAATGGGCACAGGAGTAGTGTGTTCAGGTTTTTGGGAAGCACAGGTATCAGTATGTTGGGAGCTGTGTGCTGGATAATGAGAGCAGCAGTACTGGGCTGTCCCAGGGGGAGGAGGAAATCGATTGTGAGAGTCTTGGAGAGTCTGCAGGGAAAGGGGGAAGTGAAGTGAGAGTTCTGCTTATTTTAGACATGTACAAATGTAGCAAGTGATAAAGCTTTGCTGAGCTGGCCTTCCATAAACAGGCAGGCTTGGGAGAAGATTTCCTTTACTGCAGAGAACAACATGGAGTTTGCAGGGAAAGCAATATTCTGTAAAAAACATTGCTTTTCAGGCTCAAATATGTTTTCATTCAGAGTCAGGTATAGGACCCTTCCTGGCTTCCTAGGATTTGTTGTAGCTGCATGTTTTTAAGTGTCTAGGACATGGATATGTTGATTTCCCAGACCTCAGTGGTGAGGAGCAGAACCTGTGACAAGTGTGAGAGTAAACAGAGTGGGAGGGACGACTCAGAAATCCCACTGTCCCCATTCCCTTGGATTAGCAGATGTAGAGCTCTTGGCTTGGTCCAGTAGTAATGGAGACTTAATACAGTCACTGCTAATTCTAAAACGTCTTTAGTGAAATGTAGATTTGTGAATTTCAAGGTAAAAATCTACTGCTTAAACAGCTTTTATTCTGTCGAATGAAATGTAATGTGAAATTTAAATGCCCTAAGCATCACTGTTTGCAGGTTGCACATGAATGCCCTGAGCCCTAAGACTTCACTGAAGGGCCTCTCTTTCAAAAATGAGGCACTGCACATTGAGGGAAAAGTGAACATGTCCAGCTCCTAATTGACAGACCTGTGTTGTTTTTTGGTTGGTTTTTTTGGGGTGGTTTTTGTGTGTGTGTGTGTATGTGGTTCTGGTTTGAGTTTTTTGTTGTTGTTGTTTTACATACTGAACAATCCCAGCCTTTTGGAAATAGAAATTCCATAACTTGACTTCCAGGAGGTGTCTGAAGGTGTACAGGACTGGATAAGTCATTGTAAAATAAACCTAAGTACAAGTTTTGAGTTGATTGGCTGCTTTGGGGTTAACAGCACTGTGAGATGGCTTAACTTCTGAATTCCCCACTGCCACCACAGTTTATTTTATGCTGGCTTAGAGCGTGCTGTTGTCCTTGAATGCTTCACATTCACACCGTGCTTTGTTCTCTGGTGAGGCTGTCCCTGTGCCCTCAGGACAGGGATCGTGTGCTAAAGATGCCAGAGTCCATAAAGCTCATTTCATTGCTGGCAGGGAGGGGAATGGCATCTGCTGTGGAATTCACTTGTCTGCTGTGGAATTCACTTGTCTGCTGAATGAGAAGAAGGAACTTGTTAGTTCATCCTAACCCCTGCGTTAGGCAGGCACAGGTAGAAAGCGCAGGATGAAAGGTTGTGCAGCACTGTAAATTGCAAGCAGGCACAGTTTGCAAGAGGAGTGAAAGAGGATGTTCTGTACAGCTGGGTAAACTGTCCTCCAGGTGCTTTCCCCAGGGCAGTCTGTTCTCTGGGCCACTCTTGCTTCTGATGAATTAAATTAATTTTAGTTTGTATCCTTAGTACCCCAATCTTCATGTAGCATTGAGGTGTTTATTGTCTGTTTCAAAGAACATAAATATCTGTATAAATCAAAATAACTCATTAACACTGCCTCATATCCAGTATGAGCATCCTAACAGCTGTATGAAAACTTTCAGTTTTCCTTCTGTCCCAAACTGTGCTGCTTTAGCCTCTATTTAATGCCATGAATACTTTACGTGGGATTGATCTCCACGAAGTTACCATGTTGGAAGAAAAGAGATAATGATAAAAGTCATTTTCTGTTGAAAAATACTACCAAGCTGCTCTTCTTCACTGACTTTTTTGAAGGCCTCAAATTAGGCTCTAGCAGAATTTCTTGTAAAGCCCACCTGCCCGTTTTATATAAACTTAGCAGGTATTTGGCTATTTCGTTGATTAAAACAAAGCATGATTATAGTTTCACTGTGTGTTTCCCTCAACAGAAGCTTTCCAAGATCTGTTCCAACGGGCTGGGGGTGAATGTTTCCAACCAGGATGGTTTCACCCCGCTGCACATGGCGGCTCTGCACGGGCACGGCGAGCTGGCATCGCTGCTGCTGCGCCACGGCGCCAGCGCCAGCGCCAGGAACGCACAGCTGGCTGCTCCCCTGCACCTGGCCTGCCAGAGGGGACACTCCCAGGTAACCCTGCCCTGGCACAAAGCTCGCTGCCACCTGGCACCCAGGAAAGCTGCCTGGGGGAATCGGCAGCCAGACTAAGCCAGGAGCAGAGAAGATGAGTTTGGCGGTTCTGGTTTTTGTTTTCAGTGTCTAAAATCTCCAGATGGAAAGGGGAACTTAGAGCTGAAATTGTTTCAGTAGACATCTTTTCTTTATGAAAGCATATATGACTTTATATATAAGCATATATGACCTAAAATACTGGTTTAATGCAAGTGGTGCAAAAACCTTCTGTTGTATTTCGAATCCTTTAAACATCACTTGTGCAGCTGAATCTTCTGTGTTCGTTCCTCTATACCTTCTTCTCTGGGTCATGTTTGTGTCTTGGTATCTTCAGCAGCCACAGTACTAAATAGTTACTGTGATTGCAACTCCTTAATTAGATCATGAGCCTAGTGCAGCTTTAAGGCAGCAGGTATCTCATCCCTCACTTCTGGTCAGGGAAGCAAAAGAAGTGAAGGAGAAGCATGAACCCATGGAGGGAGGGTGTCAATCCAGGAGAGAGAGTAAGTGAGACAGGAAAATAACAAACATGAAAAACCAGGGGCAAAAAGGCAAATGGAAAGATGCAGAAAATTAGGAAAATTAGAAAAGTGGAAAATTATTTAAAAATAAGGAGCTGAAGACTGCAGGATGAAAAAGAAGAGGATTTTGAAAGTGATAGGAAGACTAAGTACTAGGGAAGCAAGAAAAAACCAAGAATACAACTCAGAGTTGCAGGTTAAGTCATGGGATAGTTGTAGATTAGTTCATTGGTAATTACAGTATAAAGAACTCCTTCCAAGTGTTGTGATGAGTTTGGAAAAGGGTGCTGCTGCTGTGGTGGTTTGGTTTTGATGTTTTGTTAAGTTACTGGTTATATTCATTTTTCACACACCTCTAATTTTATTTTTTGGCCTTTCTTGTAGTTGCTTAAATTTTTCTTTTTTAAAAAGTAGGTGTTAAAATATGAAAATTAGTTTCATATTTACTCAGTAACACAGTACTCCTACTCAGTAAAAGTGAAGTTGTTATTTCTTTCAATAGGTGGTAAAGTGTCTGATGGATTACAATGCTAAACAAAATAAAAAAGATATATATGGAAATACTCCCTTAATTTATGCATGCTTGAATGGTCACTATGAGACTACTGCCCTGTTGCTGCAGGTAAGATCACTGAAGACAATCTTCTGCTGGTGTTTCTCATGTGATAGCTGTGCTTACCCAGTACTCAGGATCAGTATTTTTAGTTGTGCATTTCTCTGTCGAAAATACTTGGGGAAGGAAATAAGAGTTTTTGTTTACTTAGTCCTTTGAATCCCATCCCTTCACAGAGGTTAATGAGATAAATGTTACCTTGCTATTGTACAGGTAGCTGTTTTTATGGAACTTTTATGTGGACAGTGTCAGGTTTTCTTGCCTGGGATTCTATCACATAGGGTTGGGGGTTTCTTAAGTATCTCTAAAGCTTGGCATATGTAATAAATACATGCAAAACCAAAGTGAGCTGATCCATGAAGCTGTGGCCAGGAGCTGGGGCAATGACCTGGCCAGGTGGGTTCTGTGGCTCTGGTGGTGCGGCTGCCCCCGGCTGCGTGCACTCCGGGGCTGCTGCAGTGCTCTGCTCCTTTCTGACTGTGATCTCCCTTTGCCGTGCAGCACGGGGCCTCGGTGAACCTCTCCAACGCCCAGGGCAGCACAGCCCTGCACGAGGCGGCGGCCGCCAGGAGCGAGGCGCTGGTGGCATTGCTGCTGCAGCACGGCGCCCTGCGGCACCTGCGCAACCAGCGCGGCTGCAGCCCTGCCGACTGCGCCGAGCCCGTGAGTGCTGCACAGCCTGGCACGGGCTGCCAGCGCAGGGAGCGAGCCCTGGGCTCTCACAGCGGGCTGCACACACTGGGCTGGGGACATGAACGCTGAGATGCCTGTTCCTTGGAGCCTAGCGATGATTCCGGGGGCCTGGGAAACAGCTGTGTTCCTAGAATGTTACCCTAGACTAAAAGGATGGGTCTAGAAAGAGTGGAAGCACAGACCTAAATAAAATTAACATTCAAATCTCTGTAATGGCAGAGAGAGCAGAAGCTGGATGTACAAACACCTTGCACTAATCAGTTGTGCTGGCAGCAAGGTTCCTTGTCCCACCCATTATCTTCTGCCCCTCAAGCCTTTTGGTTACTTTTATCTTGCAATAGATCACTCTGGCCTTCCCCTTTATTAATAGCAATAACATTATATGTTATATTAAATGATACAGCATTATTTCACTCTTTAAAGGATTTGATACATGGCTCCTATCCTAATGTGCTTAAATGGCCTCTGAGATGTAGCTTAATGACCACAAAATTCTGTACTGAATCAATTTTGGTATGTATATTACCATTTAAACTGAAATTGGCTTAACCATAAGTAATGCAGCTTAAAATAAGAGGTCAGGACTCCAACATCATCACTGCATTACAGTGTAACTCATGGCACACTAATTTTGTCCCTGCTCAGAATGATACAAGTTTGTTTTTATAGTGAGTTATTTTATGTGTGTTGTATTGATTCATAGAAGCATTAATTAACACACTCTGCACAGATTGAAATACTAAAATGTACTGTTGTTTTTCTTTTTCTTCAATAATGGTGAAAATGGAAACTCTTACAATCAAGAATTCAAACATCATGAAGTTGCTGGAAGCAGCACCAAGCTGTGTCCCCACATCAGCAGAGGCAGAGAAGGAGAGTGAGGAGCACGTTACTGGCAAGATAAGGAAAAAAGGTACCTGTGATATTTCCACTGGTGTGAATAAAAAGGGATTTAGGAATTCACAGGTGACTATATCAAATATTTTATGTAATTGCTATACATGCAATAATAGAACAGTCAATTATTTTTCATATTTATGATAGGTAACACCTAAAATACTGTAACTAAATGCAGCAGACTTTGTATTCTATTCATGACATTGCTTCAAACTAAGTTTTCACCTACTTTGGGGTATATGTGTGAATTTTACCTACAAAAACATTTAAATATAAAAAAAACCACATTTGAGATTATATAATGAGACATGTAGGAACTGTGCATTTCAGTGCAAAGCAAAACAGATTTAAATGACTGTTGGGTGTCATTTATATTGCCCTAAAACAGTCAGGGAGTGACTTTTCATTAGTTACTGTTGCTCATGTTTTGGGGCAGAATGAGAACTACAGAGGTGACTGTGAGCCTTCCAGCACAGTTTGCAGCAAGTGGCAGGAGGTGGCACCGTGTGGCCACGAGGTGCAGTGACAGCACAGCTGGGCTGCAGCAGGGCCCCGGTGCCTTGGGGAGGACGAGTTACCATCCTTTTGGTACCTTTTGTCTTGCATTGTAAACTCTGACATTCCCCTTTTTTAGCAATAACATTGTGTTATATTCAATGATGCAAAGTTATTTCACTCCTTAAAGGATTTGACACCTGGCCCTATCTTAATGTGCCTAAGCAGCCTCTGAGATGGAGCTTAAGGACCACAGATTCTCCCTCCTCCCTCCTCACCCCCAGCTTCTGATCTGCCTTATCCACTGCTCCCATTATGCTGGCTCAGAAGTTTTTCAGGTGAATTTTCAAGTTCACTACGCTGGGGATGTAAGAAAAGCTGTGCCCCCTGTGCTGAGCAGCTCAGCAAAGGACATGGTGCCACCAGGACTGTAGAAAGAAAACAGGGAGGCTGCAAAGCAGGAGTCAGGGTAGATGAGGAGCAGGAGTGCCCATTTCAGCACCCGTGAGTGTTCTAAGTAACTCTTGCTTCCTTCCCTCAGAAAGATTGTGAATGTCTGGTTAATAGAAAATCACAATTAACCACAGCATGCTGACACCTAAAATTGAGAATAGTTCTTTCAAATATTTTGAATAGTTCTAAAAGAGCAATAGAAGATATGAGTGAGTAATACTAATGAAGAGGTGGTTTAGCATCTGTGTGTTAATTCAGGTTGGTAAAAACTGGAATTCAGGGCCTCAAAGTCCAGAATTACAGTCTCTTCAGAAGCTTGGCCAGTTGTTTTATCTGAGGAAGAATGGTTGTATCTGCAACTTGAAAGTTTTTAAAATTTCCAAAGACAAATCACCACTCTAATTCAAGTTAGCACTGTTATAGTTTTATGGTCAATTTAAAATCAGAACTGTGTTTTTTAATTCCTAAGTGAGACTCAGTTGTAATTTTAGCTGCCTTTTCTTTTAAACCCCCAGTGCATCCTAAGCCCTGTGTGGAAGCAGATGATCCCATAAGCAGACAACTTCAACTGGTCCAATCAATTAACAGATTTAACAAGTAAGCAGAGAAGCTTGCTCAGAGTGTGTTTGTTGTTTCCCACAAGCAAAGGAGAAGTGCAGCTGCTAACAAAGGCCCAAAGTGGGTCAGGGGTGGTTACACATGACATGGTGGTGTGCCAGTGGTTGTCAGTCCTGCAGGGCTGGCACGGTCACATCCCCAGGCAGACGTTCTGGGCATGACAAGCTCACTGGGGTGGAGAGGGAGGGCTTGAAAATGTATATAAAATTGGGATTGCACTTAATACTTGGTGTACCATCAGTTAAGCATTTCAGATCCAGACTGCTTAAAAATACTCTAGTGGTGTTCACTCATTGGTTGGGTTTTGCTCTTTTTTTTTTTGTATCTTTTTAAGCCCTAATGTATATTCCATAGTAAAATACAGGGAATACGAGTAGGCTGCAGTTCTGGGAAGGTGTTGTCAGGGAGCTGCCTGTCTCTGGTGAGATAGTTCCACCTTGTGGAGCTTTTGTGAAAGGCTTATGTGAAGACATTTAATTTCTTTGATTTCTTTTCAATTTTCTTTAGAGAAAAACACTTACGGAGAACAATAACAAGAGATAAAAGCGTCCCTAATTTTGACTATCACTTACTGCACCAGGTAAGTGGAAATACTTGCTCAGATTATTCTTACATTACAGCCAATATGTTAGTTTGCTCTGCTATTACTCTGGGTAGAAGTCAGAGAAAGTTTACTAGTGGTGGTTGTTGAATCACAGAAGTTCTGACCTGTTTGCCAAATTTCATCATTGTTCAGACTTCAGTGGTGCTTCTATGACACCTCTTGATCACTTCATTCTTTCAAGTCTCTTAAGCCTTTTACTGCAGGTTTCATCTCTGTCTTGTTTTCTGTGTCCTGTCCAGCAAAACCTAGAACTGAAAAACTCTGCAGCTTCTTGGGAACTGTAGCTTGCTTTGGCAAGAGAGACATTTTTCAGTGAATTGAAACTGGGGTTTGCTTTGTAAGAGGAGACTGCAAGGGTGACAGCAAACTGCATATTGCATTGTCAGCTGTGACACAAATGTATGTAACAGATTCACCTCTGCTTGGGGTGCAGTGACACCCACACCAGCTGCTGGATGCTGCCTTCCCCAGAGCTTGTGCTCCTTCTGCCTCCTTTACACTGGCTGTGACTCTCATTGCGTCTTCTGCTGAGCCATTTCAGAACACTAAATCAAAAGAAAAATGACCTGTCCAAAACAAAACAGTTTTTACCAGGTTAGTCCAGCAGCTGCCCATCATTAGACTGACACAGCCTTGGAAATGCAGACTCTGCAGCTCATGTCCTTCAGGAAAATGGGATTCTCTTCCTTTTCCTACAGCCCTTAGAAGACTGAGTATTTGCCAAAAGCCTTGAGAATGCTAAATTAATCCTATAAAGCTGTAATATTTTATTAATTCTTCCTAAATGATAATATTCCACTACTTAACTTGGGATTTACATTTTATAACTGTGGATCACTGGAGGCAGTATGTCATTTCAGTACACAGGTGTCAGAAAACCAATATGTGACCCTGATACAGAGCACTCCAGCCCTGTCCTGTGGTTGTGAGTTCATACAGCTGTGGCTGAACTAATTCATGAGTCCATTCAGCTCTGAATCGTTAGTAGATCTAAATGTGCATAACCTCTGTCTGCAGCTTTTTCAAGACTGTTTCCATTATTCCAGTAAAAATGCTACTTTCTCCTTTCATTCTTGCCTTAGAAGATCCGTCATTAGCATGCTTGCATTCTCTTTATTTCTTCTGGTCATTTGAACATTTGCAGAGTAGCCAGTAATCCAGGCCAGCCATGCACCCTGTACAGCAGAAACAGGAACAGGTGTGCAAATAGAAGATATGAATAGTTGGAATGACCAGAAAGAGGCACTAAGGGGTGGGGAGGGGTGAGTGTCTCTTCCCTGACAGGTGACCTCTGGAAGCAGGGAAAACTGCCTTTGCCTTCAGCAGTACTTGGGTGACCCTGTCTGTTACTGCTTCCACTTTCCTTAATAGTAAAAGAAATGGCTGTTAATTTCAAGTGCATTGAGACTTGCATTACAAATTGTGTTTAGAAGAGTTGGGATGCTGTTGGGATAGTGAGATGAAAATAAGTTTTGGAATGTCTGTTATGTTTTCAGTCTGGTACTGATGTGTGTGTAGCCTGGGGCAGGCTGGCCTCTTTTTTTTCTCATATGTAGCACAAATATAATTACTCTCTTACAAAGTATGCTATTTTAATCTTGGCTGTGTTCTCAGTGTCATGAAATTCATGTGATGATAACGTTCTAGAAACAATATATTAACTTTCCTTCTTAATGAAGAAAGCAGATGCTTTTAACGTCCCATTTCTCTCTCCTCACAGATGGCTATTAAAAGCTTTGATAAAAGCCAATTAAAATCTGTTGGAATGCTGGAGCAGAGCACAGGCCAGGTGACTGACTCGGGGTGCAGTGGTGAGCTTGTGGAAGATGATGGCACGGCAGCTCCTGCCAGGAGTCGATTACTGCAGCGCAGACACACGGTCAATGTGGTCAGCGTGGCCCTGCCCGCAGAGGGCAGCGACAGCGGCTCCTGCAGCCCTGCAGACCCCGGGCAGCCACAGCCCCAGCACTGCCACGGCTCGGGCTCGGGTCACTGAAGGGAAGCACGGATTTGCAGCCCGGAGCTGAGGAAGTTGGTGCTGTGAATTTCAGTAGCCCTTCACTGTGCGTTACTGTCAGTGACATTCACACACCCCAGCTCAGAGCAGGCACAGGCTCTGCAGCACAGCTGGAATGTTCTGGCACCCTGGGGCCTGACTCCTCTGTTCATGTTGGAGGTGACCACACAGCCAGATCATTACTGATCTCACCAACAGGGATGCAACGACATGAAGACAGCAAAATTACTTTCCTATTCTATTCAGCACTTACTAAAAAGTTCTATGTAACAGTAAACCAAATGAAACCCTGTATTGTATTTTTCAGCCACCCACTTTGTTTTAAAAGTCTTTGAATAATTTTTGCATTTTCAGTTTTTATCACTACATTCAGAATATATTTATATATATAAAAAGATATATTGGATAACAAGGTATTTATTGCCAGAGGTAATTGAAATGTCTCTATTTTTATTGTAATGTTACCATTATAATATATATTTGTGTATATTTCAGTAGCTGGGCAAACAATAATCCATAACATCTCCTTTACTAATGTGAAGGGATGTAATCCTTTCTAATATCTCAGCAATGCTCCCCTGCACTGGAGCTGCCAGATCAAGTTCTTACAGAGGAGCCAAGCTACTGGGAAAAAGTGGAGAGCCCCTGACAAACCTAAACTTTGGACTCATTGTTCACAACCTAATAAAGCAGAAGCAAGCACAGGCTGCTTGCTTGTGTTTTATTGTAGCATGCATTTAAGTTGCTTTTCCCCTATTCTAAAGGAAGTAATGCAAAAATGCACAAGTATTCATGATTCTGGTCCTGGGCAACATCCACAGACAAAACTGCTTCAGAGCCTGCTCTGGACTGCTGTTCAAAAGGTGAAATTGCCATTATGAAAGGTACCTCTTACATCAGTGAGCACGGGCTGGAATAGGCCAAATCCTGCCCTGTTCCCGGGGTGATCCCTGAAGAATTGAAAGCTGACAGGGAACTACCAAGTGGCTGCTTAGATTTGAAGTTCATTTTCTACTGTTCGGTTAAGGGAGGACAAGCTGTAAATAGCACAAGCCAGGTTTTGCAGTGCAGTATTTTTTTATTCTTGGCTCATCACATCCAGCTTGCATTTTATTTCATGAACTATTTGTATAGATAATTCTCTTTCTTTTAACTGTGGTATTAGTAAACTGGCAAAATACAAAGCTGGAAGATAACTTTTTAATCTAAGAGGTAAAATGTCAAATGATATTTGGATTTGAGGGTAATGTGTTTATTTTTCTAATAATTTATGAGTTCATCTGATTTTCTGATGTGCCTTGGATTTGTGCCAAATGATGGGAAGAAAAAAACTAGTAAAAGAACTCTTGAAAAATGCTGGTTTCTTTGAGTGCTTTTGTGCAAGCATTGAGTCTGTTACAGATTTTCTTGCTTGGTTTTATAGGCACTTGAAGATTTTGCCTTGTGTCTACTCTTGGACTTTCCTTCCTCCTACATTTATAGATAACTTTATTAGGTTGTGTGGTTTTAGATGTAGGCAGAGGTGTACGAAATAGAACTGTTAGTGAAACTCAGCATTTTCACATAACCTCCTTTTCTAGCTCTACATTCAAATTAAAAAAAAAGAATGTTCAGCTCTTACAAGTCAAAAGACAAAAGGAAAGAGGTAAAACAGGTTTTTCCTTCTTGTGACACTATAAAGATGACCCAGAGTAAGTCATTGGTCCTGACCTGTAGCAAGAATAATCCAGATATTTAAGATCTAGTAGACTGTTACAGATCTGATTTGCAAATTACAAGTGAGAATTTTGCCTGTGTTTTATTGTAGCATGCATTTAACTAAATTATTTTTCAGATTTTTCAACTATATAGGTAAGGAAAATCAGTTCACCAAACTTTGGCTTCAGACTCAGTAAGGGTGGTAAGTCTGAAGAAATTTGGCACACTCAGGGTATCACTAAAGCTGAGGTATCCTAATTACAAACACAGAGAAGCAAAATGCAGAGTCTAAACAAAATGAAACAAAAATAACAAATGTTTCATATCTTTAACCACATTCAGACAAGATGAAAAACACCCACTAGTGCTCACTTGAAACAAGTTTATTCTGTTCCAAAAAACACTGCAGTTGGAATCCTACACGATCCTGTTAAATTATGTCACATAAGGGGGTTGTGGTGGGAGAGTTTATCAGCACATTACAGTATTCATTCTACTGATTTCCATAACCATATTCTTGAATAAACGTACAGCACAAGTTCAGTTTTACTTTATGCATGCAGGAGTTGCAGAGTTTAGGAAAATGGTATTTTTTTTCCAGGTAAGAAACGCTCCAGCCATTTGATAAAAGTGGAGGTAGTTGTAAGATACACGATACCGAGTGTCTGAACAGTGCTGTGTATGACACACTTAACTTGCTTGGTTTGAAAGCCCAGGAACTCACAGGGGAACACTTCAGCTCTTTGCTGGTAACACTTCTTTACACAGACTGCCTGATAGGAATCCCCTGATCCAAACACTATTTGGATACCTTCATTTTTAAATTTCCAGTAAGGACTTGAGAGCCGGTGGCTGGCTGGGCAGGCATCCTTCAGGGACTCAGGAATCTCCTTTCTAACACTTCTGTGACAGAGTGTGGGCAGACCTTAACTCTCAGTGGCTGTTCCCTGTCTCACTTGTGTTTGCATCTCCAGTAACAGCAAGTTAAGTGTGTGCAGTGGCTGAAAGCAGAGCTTACAGTGAGGAGGGGGTAACAAAACATTCATGCTAAGGAAGCCATGGGGAACCCCACACTGCTCAGGCCTCTTACACTACAAAACTTTAAGTTATAAAAACCCCCTTCTCAGATTTATTTTACAAGTTATTTGTTGGCCTTTTATAATAATAAAAAAAAAGTCAAGAAGCGTAAACATTTTCAGATCTTGCATTCTGCCTGCTAACAGCATTGTTCCAGGCTATTGTTTGGCAGCCTTACAGTAGTATTAATAATCATCCTCTTCATCAGAATCCAACACTTTCCTTCTGTTGAACTAAAATGAAATACATAAAGTCAGAACTGAAGGGTCACGGTGCATGCAGGCTGGCACAAGCCCTTCCCAGTGCCATGGCAATGAAGGCCCTGCCTGGCCCAGTGGCACAGGACAGAGCTGGGCCAGGCTGGCCCCAGCAGCTGCAGATGGGCAGGACTGCTCTGGTGGAACCCCAGCACCCACCAGGGCAGGGCAAGAGGTGCAAATACAAACTTCCACCCTGAACTGGTCCCACACGTGCAATTCTGCTGCTCTACTTTATACAACATTACATCTAGGAAAGAAAACTCACCTTCACTGTTGTTTTCTTTTCTGTTTGCTGACTCACTTTTTCAAGAATTTCTATCAAACCTTGTTCTGATACCTAGGAAAGTCAAACAAAATGTGCATAAACACACTCTGAGAGATGCTTAGTATCAAGCAACTGAAGCACAATTTCCTTTCTTACGAAAGATTTTTGATGGAATTATATAATAGTCTTTAGGAGCTATTTACAGTTAATTTAACTTACATCTATTATAAACATTTTTTTTAGAGTGAATTGGGTTTAAAAATAAATATATGTGAGAAGGAATTAGGAAATATACTCACCTTTCCAGCTAGCTGTCCAAATCTTGCCATCTGTATAAGATAATTCTCTACTGCTTTTGCTTTGTCTGGTTTCACAAGTGCTAAATTGCTTACTGCAACAAAAACAGGCTCTGTTCATTGGGGTTTAGAACATTCTCCAATAGCTTCATTAGTAACACAAAAGTGAGAAAGGTCCCTAGGAAACAATCTTCATGCCAGGGTCATGAAATAAATTGAAAAAGGCATTTTCATTTATGCCAGGTACAAGACAGTTATATTTTTTACTTTTAAATATTTGCTCCTGATTAAACAATTTTGACTCTCCATATAATTCCTTCTACTAATTTAAATAAAACCCAAAACATAAACATAATTCAGATACTCATTAGCCTCTCCCTTCTAATCACTGATATTGCCAGCTGAAAAGCTGCAAGTTTTATCTTCTCAGCAAAACCAGTATTCTTCTAGTCTGACCTCTACCACACACTTCTGAGGAGTCACTTAGATGAGTATTTTTTATTAGAAGTTTCTTGGATACTCACATCTTGCACGAGCTGCTTGATCAAGAACTTGAGCTAAAATAGTATTTCTTATCTCTGCTTCCCTGTAAGGAAAAGTGAACCACACATTAAAAGTGGGATTTCAAACACCTAAAATAACATGCACAGAACAGCAAACTACAGAAGACTTTTGATTTGTGGAAGTGGCTTCTTGAGGTCACTTCAAACCTTCCACTTACATGATATCTTTTACAGCATTTCCTCTCCTGGGAATGTCCATTTCTTAGGGACATTTCCCATTACTGAAGTTACACAGCTGGCAACATCTTCCAAGAAATCAAGGTGGAGTTTCATACTTACACCTTCTCCTGCTCATGATTACATTTTATGAGACAAAAGCTGTGCTACCCTTTAGATCCTGCATTTATCCATGTGGAATTCACCCCAAGGCAGTGCATGGTAGAACAGGCACAAGGAATTGTCCATGCAATTCCAAAACCAAACCAAAGCTCATTTATGTATTTAGAACTTTTCACTAAGTCTCCATGTATTTACAATATTTCATATAAGTATCTGCAAAACTGGAGCTTTAGTTTATGAAACTTTAGTTAATACAGTGCAAAGTCAGCTCTTCAAACACTTGTTTACAATTTTCCCCTCAGCACAAATACTGAACACTTCCCCCACTGAGTTTTGACTAAAATCCTTTTGCTTCAGCTTTTTAACGGGAACAGATATCCCAGAAAAATCAAATCAACTGGGAAAGGCTCTTCCCACTGCAATAACAGCCAAACCCAACCCAAACTCACCACTGACAAAAAGCACTAGTTTGGGAGGAGTTCTGCCAGCCTGCAAGACTTGGATCATGAACTCCTACCAGCCCTGAGGAGCCAAGGATTCTGCCTTCCAGAAGCAGGTGACAGTGGGAGGGATGATGCTCCCCAGCACCCCACTGTATCACTGCAGCTCAGGATGTTACTGACTCAGACAAGGGCCAGGGGAAAATGAGCTGCTGCTGCTTTCTCATCGTGCCCTCCCAGCCCAGCAGGGCTCAGGCAGTACGGTCACGGCATGGGAGCCACACCTGCACCAAATCTTTGCTCCATTTCAATTTTCAATTCCAATTCCTTTGTTGGTGGTTTTTCCAGCACAAAACAAATGTGGGGCAGCATTCCAAAGAAATTAAATACTAAAAAAAAAAAAAAAAAAAGTAAATGGTTGAAGAATTCAATAGTCTCATTTATACCTCTGCTTTGCTTCCTGTTGCGACGGATCAGCGGAAGGATCCTGAAGGAGGAGATCAGAGCAAATATCACAATCCAGAATCACTCCACACAGGACAGAAAGTTAAAATACTCCAGTAGCGTGGATGGAAGATAAATCAGCTTGCTAAACCTGCCTGCCCATGGATGAGATCCTGGAAATGGGAATCTGCTGCCCTAGCAGATAAATCAATGTGCCACCCTCTGCTCTCCTCACAGTGCAGTCATGCCAACAGCAGGGTGAGCTGCTCCTGGGCTGTCCACAGATTCCTGAGGCTGGGAAAGAGGCCTTCCCCTTAGCTCTAGGATAACAGGCTTCTCCAAAGCCCAGAAAACTGACAAAAGTATTATAAATCCATTAGAGGAAGTTAAGGATAAGTAAAATGAAACCTAACACATTCTCAGCTTGGCAGCTGAAATCCCAGAATCGTGGAACATTCTGAGCTGGAAGAACCCACAAGGATCATCAAGTCTAACTCCTAAAACCAATGAAAAGTTAATGAGGGGGGTTCTACAAGAGGTGATTCCTGCATTAAACACTAATACATAAGAAAAACAAAAGGGGGAAAACTTCCAAGTCACTATTACTGCTGACTATTCAGAAACAAGTAACAAGAAACCGAAAAACCCTCAACTTTATAGGGAATCAACAGCTCAGATTTTACAGGTAACAATTAAAGGTGTGAAAGCAGGATGGAAAACCACACAGAGGAAATGGGGCTGGCTGGAGGCAGAGATCCTTCACAGGAACAACAAAATTGACACTTCATATAAATCCATATATGGATTGTGTCAGAGGATGGTGTCCAACTCCTTTCAGTGGTGCCCAGCAGAGGACAAGGAGCAATGGCCAGAAACTAAAACACAAGTTTCACTTCAACAAGAGGATGAACTTTCCATGGAGGGTGGCAGAGCACTGGAGCAGCTGCCCAGGGAGGCCGTGGAGTCTCTGGAGACATTCCAAACCCACCCGGACACGCTCCTCTGTCAGCTGCTCCAGGTGACTGCCCTGGTGAGAGGCTGGACTGGATGATTTCCAGAAGTTCCTTCCAGCCCTAACAATTCTGTGATTCAGCTCTGAAAACTGAGATGACCGGAGAGACGAGGAAGGCAGTCCCTGGAATAGTGAGCGATCGGGGGCGGGAACGCTCGTGTGCCGAACCTGCCAGGGCAGCAGCGGCGGGAGGGGCGGCGGGGCCGGGGCTGCGCTCGGTGCCGTTCCCAGCCAAAGCTCCGGCACGGCCGGGCCTCTTCCCGCTTCCCCCCGGCCCCGCTCACGCACACGCCTCTCCTCTTCCCCTGCAGCCCGAGAGGCGCCGAAAGCGCTTCGGGCGGAGAGTCGGCCGGTGCCGAACCTGCCCGTGCTCGGCCCTGATCCCTCCGTGCCCTCAGCCCGTGCTCGGCCCAGATCTCGCCCGTGCCCTCAGCCCGTGCTCGGCCCGAATCTCGCCCAGCCGCCGCTGCCGCAGCGCCTCCAGCTCCTCGTCCGCCATGGCTGAGGCCGCCCGCGCCAGGCGCTGCCAATCCACCGCCGAGCGCGCCCCCGCCCCGCCGCGCCGCGCCCGCACCAGGCGAGGCCAATCCACTGCCTATGCGCGA